CTGATGCTAAGCTCCCAGTTTATTGTACAAGTGACTGGTGGTTTCTTCTGTTCTTATTCAGCTGTGGATCAAAGGGATCTCTGTCTCTCTCTGCCCTTTCAACTGAACCATTGCACAGCGTTTTGTTCTCCATTTACAAAACAAACTCCAACACTGATAATAGTTTCAACTCTCGCTTTGCCTTTATTTCAAAATAAGAGTGCGCTGTAATTCGAAATAAACACCAGGATGAACAAATCAATCCTCAAATTAATTTCAAGGAACTAAACGGGAATAATTTTAGCCTGACAGCAGCACATTTGACAATCAGGGCCATGGTGTGTGTGTGACTGTAACGCAGCTCGACAACATCACCATCAACAAACTCAGGTTGACTTACAGGACGAGAGTTTAGGGACTGAAAAAGAGAAGCCATAAAAACAGGAAGCAGTTCTTCAGTGTGACATGAAGATCAACTGTTTCTCTGTTCGTATTGTCGTCTTTTCCCTTCTCTCTCTGTAGAACAATCGTTATATCTAATATCCAATGCTACGTGCTAAGTAACCGTGTGGCAGAGCTGGTGGAGTGTGTGTGTGTGTGTGTGTGTGTGTGTGTGTGTGTGTTATCAGTGTGTGTATGTGCACGTATTAGTCTGTGTTAATCAAACACTTGCTCGTTAAAGGACACACACACACACACACACACACACACACGCGCACACACACTGAGTCACATGAAGGGCAGGAAAAGGTCAGTGTGTGTGTGTGTCAGCAGGTGTGTTGATCAGGTCTAAAGGTAGGAATGCTCCCCTTTGGACTGAAGTAGGTGTGGTAGTGCAGTTCACAAACTCTAAAGGTGTGTGTGTGTGTATTGTTTGTGTAACTCCACCCAAAACGTGCCCATTGTGTAGTTTTTCTTTCTTTCATAATTCTTCTTCTACTCTTCCAACAGCTCACAGTAGGATCACGTTTTTATGCTACGACTGTTGTTAGAAAACGTTGCGTTAAATGGTGAAATACTACGATACTTAAACACGGTGAGCTGTATAGTGAAGCTGTGTTGCTTGAGCTACCATCAGATACACTAAACACTAAAGCAGGCTGGTGGTTTTTAATGGTCTGAGACAGTAGTGAGCTTAAATGCAGTCTTAAATTCTTTGAGATTCTGTCGACTCTGATTTGTTTTGTGCGTTAGCTGTTAAAGAAGCAGAAGATCCTGCACACTTGTGTTCACTTCATCAGGCAACGTTGAGTTCCGGTGCACAGATTCCGTAAGAGCTTTGTAGCGAGTGTTTTCTGCTGCGTATTAGTACGTTAAAAGGCACATTAGGACTTAATAGCGAAGGACCGCAGCTCGATTACACGGGGCTCTTACACGTCTGTAGCACCACTCACCCGTCTCCACACCATCTCCACATTACCACTAACCGGAGTTAATGCTGACCCGTGAGAAAGTGATGTCATGTCATGTAAAATGCATCAGCGTCGATGGACTCTGCACTCATAAACTAGCCGCGCTCCAGCAGCTCGACTAGCTACTACAACTTATTACTGAACTAGTAAACTCTGTATTCTAGACTCTATTAGTATCTCATTGACTTTTATCGTATCTTTTAAACTTCAGAATGTTGTTTTTGAACATCATTCTAATGCTTTTCTTTGCCTCTGTGTTTTAAAACGACTAGTCCAGTATTACTGCCGCTTGCCATGGACCACCGTACACTCTATGGTAGCGACCTGTCAGTCACAAGGTAGCCCCGCCCTAAAGCATCCCCTGCTTTATGGTCTGTCTGACTCTAATGGACCATAATTTACGAAATGAACATCAGGCTGTATTGAAGAATACTTGAAACTAGAGATTGAGACCATAAACTCATGTTTACAATGTTTACTGAGGTAATAAATCAAGAGAGTAGAGTCATTATCTCATTGACTTCTATACAACCAGAGGAGTCGCCCCCTGGTGGACAGTAGAGAGAACGCAAGTTTAAGAAGCTTAGTCCTGCATTCAAAATCTTAAAAGTAAAAAAGAATGAAAATATACTTTAAGTACCAAAAGTAAAAGTACTTCTTTTGCAAGCAGAATTATATTTCTATTTCTGGACTTTCGTTACTGATGCATTCATGTGTCTCCAAAATGTTGTGTAATATTAATGTTGTGAAGTGAAGAGTAGAAAGAGTTTTCAATCCTAAAAAGGGAGAATTAGTCACATGTTGAAGAGCAGCCAGAACACTGTTGTATTTACTTCATATGACGTGAGATAAAGTGTCTGTTCAGCCTCATGTTTCATGTTTATTAACTTTAGACGAAACGCTTCTGTTGCTCCAATGTGAATCCGAATCATTCATGTAGAATTATGCACCTATTTGCTCTGTTTTAATGAAATACTTGTTCAGTCCCTCTTCTTAGTGCCCGTGTAATTAAATCTCATCGTCTATAATTAACACGTTCCATCACAATGACATCACCGACTATTTGTGTAATAGTGCACAACAAACATTAATGCGGTGACGTCTGTGGGCATTTTATTTCATTTTATTCCTCTGTTGTCTCGTGGTAATAATGACTCGACTTCTGGTCGAAGAACAGACGGATAATTAGTGAACACAGAGAGAGGGCATTTGTTGTTCTGGTCTGTTCAACACACACACACACACACACACACACACACACACACACACACACACACAGCACTGTGTGAAACCTGATGTGAGGAACATTATGAAACATCTAAAAGACAGTTTGAGCCTGAAAATAACAGAGGAGGTTACAGGTTAACAGACGGAGACAAATTGGCTTCCTTGTGGCAATTTTTCAAATTTCTAGAAACCTTTTCATGCACAGCAAATAAAGAACGACACAATAAATCTGTTGCTGTCTTGTGGTCCCCCTAAAAAAATCAAAAGTGACACTTAATAATCCTCTACTGGTCTAAATTACCCGACTTCCACTGGAGGCACAAACATGGCGAGCTGAATGCGACGTTCAGTGCCTGGGTTCACGTCTCCTTAAATTGAGTCTATTTAATGAAGAGGTAATGAGTCCTGACTCTGGTTCCTGATTCAGTTCCGGGGGTTTAGAGCCCGAGGGACCTCCAGAGAACCGTGTCACAGACGCCACAAAGGCTCTGAACGGATACGGTGGAACAAACCAACAGAACTCTGCAGAGTTCAGAGTGACGGTCCCGGATGTCTCACTCAGAGCCTCTGCTGAATACATCCGGCTACTTAGAAATGCAAAAAGAAAAGTGCATTTTTGTTTCTCTTTAATGGATACAAGCGGAGAGTATGAAGTTATGCACATTTCTATAGGTACTGAGTTCTGAAGTGAGGGATTTCAGGCTCAACCTGGTTCCAGAAGGAAGAGTTCATGTTCTCCATAGATGATGTTAAGTGACTGACAGGTGTGGCTAGGCCAACATGGAGGAAATGAAATAAAACAATATGTTTGAGCTCATTTAGCTCTTTGGTTTCAAAGTATTTATGCGGCTGCCAAAGAGATGGACGAAAAAAAATCCCCTTAAATCGAACATTGTGAACTTGGTGAAGATATTATGGCCAGTTATTATGGCAGGTTGTATTATGCTGGATTAGGTTGTACAAGTGTCCCTAATAAAGTGACCACTCAATGCAAGTTTTAAAAATGCATCATTAAAACGTTTCATCTCGGTGAAACCGCAGTGATGTCGCTCCTCCTGTGGACTGAGTGCCAAATATTATACAAGCAGCTTTCGGCCCTTTCTGTAGATATCTGGTCTGAAAGGCAAAATAAAGTAATTATTCTAACCAGCCGTGTTACGCGGTTGATGTTTTCCACAGTACTTGCTCTCCAAATGGCTCAGCGTTCGCCATGACCTAGTGTCACCAGTCCCACAAACCCTGACTCCACCAACTGCAGTCTTTTCTAACGTGTGTGTGTGTGTGTGTGTGTGTGTGTGTGTGTGTGTGTGTGTGTGTGTGTGTGTGTGTGTGTGTGACCATGACGGGCCTCTAAACAGTGAAAAATGGAGGACAGCCTTTGAAGTGCACTTACATAATCTGTGGCGATGGGTTGGAATGTCACACTTTGGCCTCACACACACACACACACACACACACACACACACACACACACACACTGACCCCGTGTAATTCTCCTTTTATTGTCCTCTGCTTGATGCTGATTGTCTCTCAGAGCTGCAGAGTGTTCACCCTGCAGGACAAAGTAATCCAGCTACTCATGCATGTGTTATAATACCTTTTGTCTTCATCACGGTGTCTCGTGTGTTTTCTTTCTGATTTCTTATCAACGTTATTTGCGGTTCGGATAGTTTTGTCGGCAGGATTACGGTAAAGCTACTGACCTGATTTTCATGTAGTTTGGTGAAAGGGCCCATCAACGTTTGGAGCGGATCCAAATCACAAGGCGGATACACATCATCATCCTATGGAAGGGGCCTTGGCGGAGGTCTTCGCTGTAATATATTCAAACAATGACTTCTTATTTCCACGTAGCAATCAAAGAAATTCCTCCATTTTCCTTCAATTGTAATTATTTTCTTTGCACGTTTTTTTTATTAGACACCTTTGATATAAGTGCGACTGTTAATGTGTGTGTACATTTAGGTTTCTGGCTTCTTCAAACTTGAATTTAGCAGATTGAACTTGATGTATTGTTTTGTTTTCCGGTAATTCCCACGTTTGTTGTGAAGAATGAAATCCGTCTCGTTTCTATATCCGAGTTGTAACCTCAGAGCAGACGGTTCATGGAGAGCAGCAGGTATTTACCATCCAATCATGCGTCTCAGAGGAGCGGCACAAAGCGATAATCCGTTTACATCTTAATGACCTCGGTGAGTCAGTGGAGTCCTTTAATAATCTGAGATGAAAAACTCTCCTCTAATTGGCCCAATTAGTCTCTGTGCTATTAATTAGTGAAAATCAGAGTCTTAAGCTGATCTCTGTGACGATGATGTTCAGACCGTTTCCTGTCTGAATCTGGTTTATAAACGCCTGTTTTTCCTGTTTGTGTTTCCTCTGCAGAGACCAGAACATGTTTACTCCCCTTTTTCCATGGTAACCCAAGAGGAGCATGCACGTCCGGGTCAGGAGCTAACCTCAGCGCTCATCTCCTGCCTCCTGTGAGAACTACACTACCCACAATTCCTGTGAACTGACGGCCCAGTCTTAACGCTTGGATCGATTCAAAAAAGACACTCGGAGGAATAAAAAAACTACAAAACCAACACTAACGACACTGCTGTGAAGAGGACCGACATGGCCAACAACACGGCGGACCACCCTCCGGGGAATTCGGTCACGGAGGGCAACCATGACGGGGACTTTGGGGTGACCGTGATGGAGCTGAGGGAGCTGATGGAGCTGCGGAGCTCCGAAGCCGTGGCCAAGATACAGGAAGCGCACGGAGACGTGCAGGGCATCTGCCGCCGCCTGAAAACATCCCCTATAGAAGGTGAGACGCGTCACAACACACCAAAAACAAAACAATCACAGCAGTTAAGAACTGATTCAACTTAGATTTACTTTTTATACCAAAAACACTGCTGGGATATTAAAACTCACACATTAGGCCTTCTAGCTACAATCAAAGCTCCGTCAAACCGCATGATGACTGATGTGCCTGCTTTAGTTCAAAAGCAATATCGTGTGTGTGTGTGTGTGTGTGTGTGAGAGAGAGACAGGGATTTGTGAGGAGAGGCACAGTCCAGACAGTTCAATTAGCCTTATTTATAATGAGCCTAATTACAGCCTAATAACTTTTCCTTTACCTAATTGTTCTTGGGTCGGTAGCGAATGATCCGCGGCGTTGTACGGTTCTATTAATCAATATTGAAGTCAGCGGTTTGAAACATCTGTCGTGTCAGTAGCCGATTTGAATGTCATCCTGTCAATACGGGGGTTCGTTGGTCAAAGTTAATTTACCAACCAGGCGCATAAGGCAGCGGCCCAGAAGCCCAAAAAGTTAATTGCGTGTCAGTCGGTCCATTATGTGTAAATGTGTTTGACAATACGCGCCATTCAACTGGTCGACTAACACATGCTGCCTTTTCTTGCTTACTGCACATCTGGTTTTATTTCTTAACGAGGTCCCAACTGAATGTTTCTTTGCCCTGAAGCCTCTAATAGATGAAACCTTTACTAACCAGGTCTTATGTTATCCCCCCACGGATCAATAAAGTCTTATCGTAACCTATAATAATACATAATACATATGTATTTCTTGATTTGTTTGTTGAGTATATTTGTAATCAAAGCTGTCAGAAAGTTAGTTGTCAGATAAATGTAGTGGAGTAAAAAGTATTGCAAATCTTCCCCCAAAATGTTGTGGAGTAGAAGTGTAAAGTAATGGAAATACAAGTACCTCAAGATTGTACTTAAGCACAGTACTTGAGTAAATGTAGACTACTTAGTTCACTGAAAATGCACCAGTAATAATGATGATTATGTGAAAAACGAACACACACACACATCAGGAGGCGACGGTGTCGTAATAATACAAACAAACACACTCCGTACTTTGTGGAGATCGATGATCCGTTTGGATCTCCGTCAGAGCTTCATGTGAGGCAGCAAATGGCCGACGCACTGCTGTTTGTGATTTAACTCCCCCTCTCTCATCTTTTGATCCCCGTGTGTGTGTGTGTGTGTGTGTGTCCCCGTCGGTCCATTCCAGGATTGAAATTAGTTCCAGCCCGTTCCCCTAATGGCTCCATAGATCATTGCTCTGTTCCATTTAGTAATCAGAGGACAGCTGTAGTCGCATCTTTCACGCAAGAAATTACTCACTTTAATGAAGAAAGTGTAATTATATTTTCACAGCATCATGGAGGGAAGGAGGGGGGGGGGGGGGGGGGGGGGGGG